CTCCTGTTTCTCTGCACTACCATGAAAGCCTCACCCAGCAAAGAGCCTTTGCAGAACTCTGACATGTGCCTCTTGCCTCCAGGCTAAACCTCACACATAATCAAAGAGTTGATTGTTTTAAAGGCTATTCTCTGCAAAAGCAGAAGATCTGCTACTGCCTGCCTAAGTCAGAAAGCCCAAGTGGTTTTAAGCACAAGAAATTACTGCCTGGGTCTAAACAATGAGTTTAAATAACTGTCAAGTGTGTTCAGTCCTCCTGTGATTTCCACAGAAACAGCTCCTGAATACGAATGAGAGCTACAAGATTATGTTCTGGTTGGTAGTTTTATTGGTGTCATAATAACAGTGAAAAATGAGTATAGTATCTCCTCTTTTTGTATTTTTCCTCTGCTGAAGGAAAATAATTTTCTTAGCTCTCTCTCTTCAAAAGTTGGGTAAGAACAGTTTACTCCTTCCACTGGTGCTGCCTGATAACCAGGATGAGGAGCAAAAATGATGGAATTTGTTACAGAGGATGCTCCTTAGCTACATTCTATTTTGTGCCTTGCAACCTATTGTCTATTAAAAAAATCAACGGCAAACCAAATCCCCCCCGAAACTGACTGTGAAAAAAACTTGCATATTTTGGAAGTGGACTGAGTATTATCCTAATGGACACTGCAAGGACTAGGCTTTTATGCAAACTATCTCACTTCTGCAGAATGAGATTCCTCAAATCAATGTATGAGAGCAGAATTTTTTATAGGTCTGCAAATGGCCTTGCAGGAAAGAAAATACTACTATGCAAGAGGAAGAAGTGTGAGTGACAAATTCGAGTTATTCAATGTATCTTAGAACTATTCTTCTGGAAGAAAATTAATGAAATTTACTTTTTGTATTTTAGAAGCATTTCCAAGTTCTTCCAAGTATCCGAGTCCAACAAAATTACTGTGTCTTGTAGAAGTAAGTACCTATGTTTGAAAGTTACTGTGATTAAGATATTATTTGGAAAAAGCATGGCTCAATATTTTCTACTGTCAAATACTTTCTGGAAAGAGGACCTTGGTGAGGAAAGTAGTAGTTTATACACACTTCTATTGTTTTCACTAAGAATGTAAAAAAATTGCATTAGGTAGTGCTAATTTCACTTGTATCTCTCTTCTTTCTTCCATGGCAGACAACAATTCATCATTAAATAAACACATACAATGCATTAATTTTCACTTATGTTTCCCTCTGTGCATAAAATTATACTGCTTATAGCAATAAAATCAATCAAAAGGAGAAAAAGGTTGAAAAAAAAGTCAGAAGAGATTGGATCACAGCTGATAACCAGATGTATATGACACATGCATTTTCAGAGACCATCTCACTGAAACACTATTGCCTGCTTATCCAGAAATAATACCCTTCTCTGCAGCTGGCAGTAAATGAATCTCTTTTCACAAGACTCAGAAAAAAATCAGTTGTATCTCTCTCTCTTCTGTTTTCAACATTATGGGACATATTAAATGATATCTAAGAGAAGATAAATATTTCTACATGTTTGACAAAATTATTAGTTGCTATGATGGAATTTTCTTCTCTTTATGTGTTGAAGTTATATTGACCACATGTTATTATGGAAGTTACACATAATTATAGTTAGAAATCAAAAACAATAATTCAAAGAATTTACTGTGAGACACAATTACAAAATGGCCTCTATTCACCATATAATACTATTACAGGCCTTAAAAGATGTTGCATTGGCTGTGCCTTACAATATGAGATTTTAATTTTAAGGCTCAGACCAATGACCAGTTACAAATCTTCATGAAGTATTAGCTGAAATTTATCAAGTGCTAAACTCTTACATGCAGATAGCTATGATAAATCAGCTGCCAAGAAATAGCTACTGGTTAATAATTGAATAACCAATCTAATTATCTAGAGAGAATGATAACTATTTTGTTGAGGTGATAATTATGCATCATTACTATTAGGAAATTTCCAACTATGGAGAGCTGATGTGGATAATTAAAAGATGTTTGTATTTTAAATATATATCACTTTTAAAATATAATTCATCCTTTGTATTACAAAGCAGGATGAACTGACTATGAGCTGGCATTTAGTTGTTCTTTTTACAGTGTCCATTTTGCAGTATCCATATCTTTTTTATCAAACTCTTGGCTTGTTTGTCTTTTTAAGTCTGAACCTTTCAAACTTTTCTGCATGAAGTTAATTTGATACATTTTCAGTGGTGGATTTTTACCAAAACTCTTGACTCTAATGTCTTCCAGGCACTCTGAGCATTTGCATGACTTCTTTTTTTTGTACTAAACCTACAGGAATATGAATGCTATATAACATGAAAAAGAAAGAAAGTCCAGACCCTTCTTGGTCTTGCTTATGTTGACTATGAACACAAACCCCAAGAAGTGTGGAAATAACATTTCTGGAGAGAAGTATCCTGTGCCCTTACAGGCTGTCACAGCATTCTGCACTAACAAATATCTCAGCCTTCCCGAAGGATTTTATCTTCACCTCTAAGAGGCTAAGGAAGACAACACAAATATCAAATAGAACTTTTCATTTTAGCCCAAAATCATAATATTGCATTCAGATACTCTTATCTGAATAGACTGTATATGTGATGAAATTTTGCTCATGAATGCTACCATTAGAGACTTTCATTAAAGATACTACTATGGCTTCAGCACCAAATTACACCCTGCCTTGCACATGGAGTAAGGGAGAATGGGTTTTATTTCTTTGCTATGCACATTGCATAGAAAGAATGATAAATGGAATTGTCTTTACCAAGGGAGTACAGAAGGTGCTTTCTCCCTGTATTCGAAACTCAAACTGCAACAGCAAGAGCTGGGGTCTGCTTCTCTCTGTCTGCTTTCTGAGATTGGGGAAAAATGCAACATTTTACCAACCAATTTTCTTTTGTGGGAGCTCTTATGGGACAATTGGAGCCCTGCACGCAGACCCCAAAAACCTTCGGCATTCTTAGATTGCCACACTTCATGTTCCCTTCTCCTGCCAAAACAATTAGCAATGGAAAAGTACCAAGAAGGTGTAGGCTTAAGCACAGCAAAATGAAATAGCTTAATTAGGTCCTGCAGGCAGCATAAGGAAAATGTGGAAACAAATCTCTGTTACAGAGGATAGATGAGGTTGGTGTGCAGGATCAAACCATCTGTAGGCAGCCAAAAGTAATTCAGATTGCTGTTTTGACCAGCTCTGGCTGCAAGAGCCATTTAAGGTCACCCATGTGTTTGTTTAATTGTGGTTAAGTCAGCATTTCTTCTGCAAATATTACTGTATTTTAAAAGCCTGATGGTTGCATCTGTCTGGGCTAAAATTTTAGATACAGATCCTGGCACAACAACTCATTAAACTCTCAGTAAAAAAGAACTCCCCAGTTTTTGCAGGACTAGGAGGAGCATCTCTTTCATGCAGTACCAAGATGTTGGCTTGGGACCCTCCTAAGACCATGGTGGTCTAACCCTCTGATGCCCTCCTTGGGGGTGGAGGAAATACAGAAGTGTAAGGCAAAAGAAGCACACAGGGAATAATTTTGGGAGGTTTTATCTATCTTTGTTATCAGGAACTTGCATAAAAAAATTCAGGTACATTTCAGGCAAATTTCTGAAAGGTTCTGGAAAAAAAGCTAAATCTATTTGCATAGATTAGAATTCCCAAGAGGAATCAATTTTAGAGAAAAAGTCATGTATAATAACTATGTGGACATAATTTACATAGTGGCCACCAATCTGCTCATATGGAAACAAACCCAAAGCTAAAACACAGTACTTCCTCCTAGGCAAATAAGCTAAAATTGCCAGCATAATCCTTAAGATCATGATAAGTAATAGGATTTAGTATTTTGTGACAAATAATATAACCTCTAATATTGCATTTTTATTTGTTTCCTGGATTTTTGTACTTCGAACTTTGCTCCTCAACCACAATGGCATGAAACTTCCTTTTCTAATCTTAAAGTTGATATTTTCAGATAATCACTTCATTATGAGAGTGGAAGCCCCAGAAAGCCAGCTCAATAGGATAAGTTACAAATTGGAGTAATGAAAGTTATTGACAGAAGGGAAGTTACTGATAATTACATGGTAGAACTAACCCTTAAACAAATACTTTTTATGGGATCTTTTGTCTGCTGTTCATACACTTGATAGCAAAAAGAATGGTGTGAACAAAAGAAAATGAGTGCACAAAAAAAGACACATTAAAAAGATACAGTTCTGAAGGAGAACAGGGAGGGAGAATGCTAGGACACTTTGGAAAGTTTTAAAGAAAGAAGCTGAGAGGAAAACTGTGAATGAGAAGTGAAATTCAGACTCAGAAGTAGACTACAGATAATTACAGCTAATACATATATTAGTCTACATTTTTTAAAAGGACTGTATTTTTTAGAATATGACACATTTAAAAATATTTTTTTTAGCATCATGAGTTTTTGTTTTAATATAGAGAACATATAACTTTAAGTTTAAGTTTAAGTGACTGTGACACTATGAAGACTATGGCTGAAATATGCAAATTAGGGCAGTGATCTATAATTAGACTAAAATGTGATTTTTTTCTCTATTTCATAAATTTTATTTATTTCTGTTATTGAAGTATCACAGTTTTTTTTAAAGGACATTATAAATTATCTTTTCATGGTTTAGACAAGTGGTATTGATGATATTTAGAATGGTTTCTGAATAAAATCAGTGGAAATAAATTAATAAACTAATTACCTTTAAATGGAACATTTAACTCCTACATGTATTTTAGTGTAAGTTTTGTTTAGTCAATAAAGGCAAAACATACTTAGTTTCTTTTTGAGAAGTAAAATATCCATGACTACTGACTTTATTGACTAAGACCTACATCTTATAAGCTTAAGTATGGTAAATAACCATAATGTTGAAATTGGATATTTATGGTCAACATAATCTCATCAATTATATTGTATGGTCGTTGAATATATAAATATCCAGGAAAATATTAATATTCTTACTTACCCAACGGACAGGAAAGGCTCCTTTGATTCAAGTCTGTCAAGTAAATAACAAAAGTTTTAAATATAGGTATTTATTGTGTTTAAGAACAATTATACAATCAATTTGAAACAGCTGTTCTCAGTGTCAGGTTTATTTAATGACACAATTTAACATGATTAGAAGGGCCTGATTCATTTTAGTAGGCACTTAACTGAAAAAATCCCATTTATCTAATGGGACTTTGATCTAGAGATTAAATATCTATAGAGCAGCACATCTAGGCCTTTTGAATTTCACAGATTCACATGAGTTGTGTGGTTATTTGCATGGAATGGTTAGAGTGAGCAAGAAATACTTTGTTGTTTTTGTTGCTTTTTTTTGTTGTTGTTGGTTTCCAGCATCCTATGCTCAAATGACATCATCACTTCATCATTATGAGAACTTCTGTCCCATTGCCAGAACTGGCCCTGTGCTGGATATGGGTGTTGACACTGTTTTGGTGGATCCAGAATCATGCCCAGTCCTAAACTCAGTGGCTGAAAGTGCTCTCCCACTCCCTGCTGTGGCTGCTGTCACTGGGAGGGGATGCACCACCTGCACACTGCCTGGAGCCTCTTCTGCTGGCAGTTTCCATGCAACCAGCACAGACGGACAGACAGAGTCCTCATCTATGTTTTTTGATAGTGCTCCTGCTCTGGTATCTGCAACTGGCTGCCCTTATTTTAAAGTGTGTTCTGGCTTCAGTGAGTTTTCTGATATCAGCTGCATGATAAGACCATTAGTATGTGATTTTAGATTTCTTTATAAACACGTTTAAAGCTGAGTAATTTTGAGTGGTTACATGACATGCAAAAATGTTCTGTTGTGATTGTTCCCACTGAGGCTATTGTGTTAGAAGGAGCAGAAAATAAATACCCAGGTCATTAATATCTCTTTGCAGCCTTTAATAAAAGTGTTTCTAATGAAGCAAAGTGTATAATATGTGGAACTGAACATTTAATTTATGAATCTGAAACCAATTTAGTCCCACAATAAAACACTTGCTATATAGTTAATTTTAAGCAATTACCATTAGTTGTAAACAAAAGTACTTTAAATAACAAATGTTTTAAGAAAAAAGTCTCATGAAAGTTATCTTTGTAAAAAAATTGAGAACTTGCATTAATTTAGCAAAGGTTTTGTGAAAAAAACTCAGAAACCAATAAACCAGTTTAGTTATTATCATCCGCTAAAATCCAAAACGTATTGAAAGCACAGTCCCTTTTCTGTTCTCCTAATGACTATAACTCACTGCTCCATTTCTTTCTGGGGTTGAAATCCACATGGAATTAGAAGAATAGAAGAGGAAACACTGATGGCTTTGCATATACCTGGCAGCACAGTAGGAGCTCAAAGCTTCATGTCCCTGTGTTCAGGGCAGTCCCAAGAAAATCTGAGCTTGGCGTTCTCTGTGCCCAGGCAGAGCAGCCAGAGAGCAATAAAGTGACAGGGCCCCTCATGGGGGCTTTCACCCTTCTCCTGCAGGTTCTGTGCAATAGTGTCATGATTTTGTTACCTCTTTTTCTGCTTAATGAAATGAATCAGTCAGGGGAAGCACTGAGTGTTTGGCTGGAGAGATTATCTATAAGCAAGATGACCAAAGAATGAAAGCCCTAGAACATACTTACATACTTCATAATACAGAAATTTTGTAATCAAGAGAGACCTAGCACTATTCTGATGGAGGACATTCTGCTGGATTTTACTTGAAAGCAGAGAGTGTGTGATAGAATGCCCTGTGGGCAAAATACTGCGATTAAAAATTTATTTGAAGTCCGTTCTCAAGCTGGAATTCAATTTGATTTAAATAGTGCTGCCCTAGGTTTGACCTCTCTCTATATTTGACTAAACGGTTTTAGATAATTTGCTGCATTACTTTTAATTAGTTCAAGTGTTCCTCATAGTAAAATAATACAATTATCTGTTGGCCTTTTATTTGATAATTCAGTATATGGCAAACTAATATAAGGGTTTAAAAATGCAACACAATTTGAAATAATATCCTATATCATCTTTACTGGTGACTTTTGTCAGTACAAAATATTTTTTACCTTTCTTTTCAACCCAATGTACACTGAATTTTCCAGAGTTTTGAGGAAATCTTGAAAAATTAAATATGATATTGCAAAAAGACTTATCCTGGTAAGTTTAGAGATGGACTGTGATACACCTCCAGGAAAAATCTTAAAGTAGAAACTGTCTTCTTTGCAAAAAATATATTTCTGTGTCCAAGAAATGCTAAGCTAGACAGTGAACAAAGGGAATAATACTTTAATTATGAAGGAATGGTAGTGAAGCATGAGAGATTGAGATTTTTTCTTTCTTTCCTGAAATGGTTTTTCTACTGGAAAAGATCAGTTTGTCAATATGCCAAGGCAATATATCAGTTTGAATTGGAGAGAGGGAGGCTAATCAGTAGCATGAGTGGGACGTGGCAGATTGAGGTGGTGTTTAGCTTTGATTCTCAGCTAAAATCTTCTGAGCTAAGATTTTCCTTATCTACATAAAATAGATAAGTTTTGCAGGAGAAAAAAGAATTTTTACACTATGTGAGTTGCTCAATTAAAACCAGTCACTGTAAACTGAACAGGCATAGGTAATTGATTACTGCCCATTGATTTGCCACAGTACTGTCACACTGTGTTTAAAATAAGGTCTCTACAAATTTCCCTCTTAGTGTTATTCGCCTTGCAACCTGTCTTGGAGAGATATTTTACAAGGTCTGAATAACCCAATTGTGCATTTTATGATTTTCTTTGCTGCTAAGGTTTCTTATATAAATGCCAATTATCTAAATTCCATCTTTGACATGGACTGAACATCCAGATGGAAAAATTTTCAAGGTTTGCCGACAAACGTACAGGGAAATGTGACTAGACTAAGGGCATGTGAATTCCTCTTTGCCTTGTAAACAATCATAGAATGACAGCAAGATCCCATAGTAAATTCTAGCTTTCTTGCATAATTGTCCTATTGACATGACAAGCAAGACTTCTTTTGCATTTGAGGCCTGACCCAAGATACATAAATCTATGTAATTACTTATTAAAGAATCCTCTCCTCTCCTTCCCAAAACTGTGTACAGGACAAAGTGAATAACATTTCTACTAATATTAATGCAGTACACAAGCAAATGGATTTTAGCCAAGGGTTCTCCAAGGTGACCAATTATGAATCAATATATTCTTCCTTGTGGTGGTCACATAATTTCACCTTTAAGCACTTAGTAGGAAAAACATGTGGAATTTAATGAATTTGTTAGGATTCATATTCTGACTTGTTGAAAAAACAAAGCTATCTGCCCTGAATCAGAGAAAGGGGTCAGGAACAAAAACTTTTTCAGATGAGTCATCATTTTAGCTTATAACCTACATATCAGAATTCCTGAGGAGGGTTAGCTGACTGTATTGCTGACATCACACAATTTCTGTTTGACTATAAAATTTATGAATAGTGACTGCAGTTTTCAAGGGGATTGGAAACATTCAAGCCAGATAGGAAAGTGAGGACAACTGAAAAGCATTTTGGACTTCAGTACAGTGCTAATGTATATTTAGACTGATTGATGTGGCTGACTTATTTACTAGTCAAGTATGTATTTTATTGCACTGTGCAGCTTTAGGAACCAAAGAATTAGCAGAACCAAAGATTTAGAAGAAATCTGTGTAGTGAAAGAATATTCAGATTTATGTCTCAACCTGTTTATTGACGCATTAAATTTTAAAATGACAAAAAAACAACTCAAGTGACCTTTCAAAAGAAACTTACATTTCCACTCACAGTAATCAAACATGGATTCATTTTTCTCTGAATGTTGAATTTGTGGTTTGAAGTGGTAAAAAAATAATCTTTCTTCAGAACTTTTTAAGCAGTTTTATATTGTCATCTAATTTGTTTTTAAAGCATGTGCATTTTGACTTTTGCTACCTCCAAATATTTCTATTCAATGCAAGCAAGCCTAATACAAGCATGTCTTAATTTACAGAAGAAATAGAATTTCTACTATCTATTGAGTCTGAAAGAGCAATTGCTGGTGAACACTAGGTAATCCTTCCTTTCTGGTTTCTGTGACTTAATTTCCAAGATCATTTTCCTGGACATTATCAGTAATCATTGCCAAATAGAATAGGGTAAGAAGCTCATTTTGTCTTCTGAAGCTTCCATAAACATCTTTATAAATGTTGACAAGTTTTATCAAGAAACTCTGTCATATTCTGAAATAATAAATGGTAGCATGACTGTATAGAAGATATAATCTATCAGAAATGTTTCAGAAGCAGAGGGAATGGAAGAATAATTCACAGGTTTATGTCAACTTTTCCAATTGTCCCAAACAAATTTAATAACTTCTGCTCCCATCTGGTGCTTGACATTGCAATTGATTACTGTGATTAGAAAAGCAACAACAACCAACTGTTGTTTTCATGAATATTGTCACAATAATGTCAAATACTATGTATTAGTTTTTGCAGTGCCTTGAGAAGTTGTGTTCCATGGACCTAAGTGCTTCTGTTATTTATTGAAACCTAAAGATTCTAGCACAAAATAAAATACATCACTCAAGCCATGGGTGGAAACTGACATACTGCAAGCTCAAAGTGCAATTTCTCACTTAGTCCTTTGATGCAATAACTAACTTGGTGGATAAATGATAAGACATATGATAGGTAAGACTTAGTCTCATTTTTAAAGCTCTTGTATTGCCTGATATGAGAGTCTCATAATCAAGCTGAGAAAATCTAATCCCAGCATGACCATGAACAAAGAATTATGCCAATGGGAAAGAGAGCCACATTAAATAATAGGAACACTCAGTGTTATGCTTTCTTAAATAAAATATTTTAACAAAAATGTTACTGCATGTAAGATAGGTACCAAAAAGCTGTTTTTTAATCATCCAGTGAACAGAGTTAAAATCTGATTTTTATTTTTTATATTGTTAATTTTTAATTTTTTTATTTCTTTAATAAATTGAAGAATTAAATTCAGTGTAATGAAATTTGAAAAAGAAAAAC